CCTGTGGCCGGGGGCCAGGAGCTGCGCTGAGCCCTCCTGCTGCCCGGGCCCCCTGAGGAGGTGGCTTTGTCCCAGGCCCTGGCTGGGCACCTGCTTCACATCTGCAAAGGTGCTTGCCCGGCTCTCTCGGCGACAGCCTCTCCCTCAATGCCCCACACTGAGGCCGCAGGCCCAGGGACCTCTGTCCTGACTTACAGATGAGGAAACCAAGGCTCAGGGAGGCCCGGACCCAGGTCTCCCCCAGCACCAGCATCCAGACTGGGCTTAGGGGCCTTTCCATAGACACTTTTTTTTTTTAAAGATTTATTTATTTATGCATACAGGAGCTGGGGTACAGGCCAGAGGTACGGGGGGTGAGAGGATCCACCAGAGACAGAGTGGGGAGCAGAACAGGCAGACTGACTGAAACACACTGCTGAGGGGAGCAGCGGGCAGACAGGAGAGGTCTCCACAGACACTTTAACTATCCCGGGGTGTCCTTTGTCAATACTCATTATTAAAACAAACGCGTGATCGTCACAACGAAGTCCTCGTGTAACGCCACAGAGATTCTTGGACACAGAGACTTGAAGCAAACCATGTCTAATGACAGCAAGTCCTTGACGGGCCGTCCGTGAGCTCAGCCATGTTCTCAGGGAGGAGGCTGATTCCTCGCGGGCCGCGGGGGCCTGAGGACTCCCTTCTCCAGGCCCCGCTGGGGGAGGCGGCGTTTCCCGGCAGCCCACTCTCCCGATGAGGGGCCAGCGTTCCGGAGTTGAAGGGACAGCCCCGGGCCACACGGCCGGTGCATGCAGTCGGCTCCAGGGCTGACCCACCCGCTTCTCTGGACAAGGTGCGACTGGCCACGTCCAGGGGCCCCCAGCCAGCAAGGCTGTCTGGAGGGCCGGGAGGGCGGCTGTGGCGGGGGTGCTGTGTGGACAGGCTGGCGGCTCTTTGCCCCCCGCAGCCCGGCCTCGCCAAACCCTGCTGGCGCGGGTGGCTGGCAATTACTCCAGCGAACCAGGCAGGCTGCTCCCTGGCGGGCAGGTGGGTGGGAAAGACCCGGGGTCTCATCGCGGACGCTGAGCCCAGCCCTACAGCCTGAAGTTCCCGCGGCTGTCTGGAAAACGCGCCTCCCCCGGCCTGTGCGGCCTCTCCCAGGGGCTGGCGGCGCGACGGTCACTTGTTCCTTCCTCAAGTGCTGGCTGCAGGCAGGGGACGTGCTCAGTGGGCAGCGAGGGCGGGGTACTGTAGCAGCTGGCTTGTCGCAGGACTTATCAGAGCCTTGGCGATGCTGTGTGCCCTGGACTCGCCGGGATGGCGGTTGCAACAGGCGATGGCTCCTAAGAGCCCTCGACCAGGGAATTCCTTCTCCCTCCAGACAGATACCCCCAAACCCTGGCTCTCCCTCAGGGGATTCGGGGTTATTTACCTTTCACCACGTTTCTATCATTTGGAGAAGTAAATACGACTGAGTTAAAATGACGATTCCCTCGCAGCGGGCGCCCGCCGGGGTCTGCTCTCTGTGGTTCCCGCCCCGGGGGCTGCGCCCCACTTGGGGGACCTAGACCAGGGGGGCCGCACCCCCTTTGGGCTGCAAAAGCCACTTCCCTTTTGCTGTCATTCTCAATGCTGCTGCAGAAGCATCTTCCGGGCGGAACATGTGCACACGTCTCTCACTGCTGCTGGGATCGCTCCCTGGAAGTGAAATCGCCGACTCCGAGCTTGTGGCTGATTCCAGAACGGCCGCGCCACCTCGCAGGGCCCCCGCGGGACCCGGTGCTGTGCCCTTGGCGATGCTGGGCGTGGTTGTGGACCCAGATTTCTTCTTCCTGGCCTGTCTTACGTTTTGGGCTCACCCACACGGCAGCCTTCCTGTCCCCCTGGTCTGCGTCCTCTCCGGACTTTCTGCTGGGGACTCCGCTTTTCCTTGTTACCTTAGAAACCTCTTCGAAGGTTCAAGATTGTAGCTCCTTGGCGTGTGCTCTTGCCAAACATTCTGGCCCTTATATGCCCTCCCCCCACGGGAAGGTGGCTTATGGGAGGGGAAGTGATTTGCCTAAAGCCACACTTGGTAGGGCCTGGGTCTCAGGGAGTCCTGCTCCATGCTGGGGGCTCGGGGGACCCCTCCTCCTTCCTGCTCCCACTCCCCTGGATCAGATTTCACACCCCCACCCGGCTCCCAGCAGCTGACTCTCCTCTGGGCACCCTCCACCTCCAGCTGTGTCCCCACCAGCCCGGTGGGTGACCTGAGCGACCCCCAGCCCTCAGGGCGGTGGGAAGGCTTCGGGGGGTGACGTTTCCATGATTTGAGGGTCCTCCATGACCGCTCTGTCCCATAGACAAGCAAAAATAAGCAATTAAAATTGTTCCAGTTGGCATTTACAAAAATGTAAACAGGGGAATCAATTTTAATAATAAATTTAACCCATGATAGCCCAAATATTATCAGAGCAATATATTATTTAGCTAAAAATATTAACGAGCTACGTCTCCTTTTTATTACACAGGAAACTTCGAGACCTGGTGTGTGTCCATGCTCACTGCCCAGCTCCCCTCGGGCTGGCGCAAGCCAAGTGCTCCGCGGCAGGTGTGGGCGAGGGTCTCCGCCTGACACCAGGTCTGGGTGCTGCAGTCGGGAGGAGCTCTCCAGGAGCTGGGAGATGAGGCGGAGCACGGCCCTGCGGGGCACACAGGCCTCCATGGCTTCTGACCTGGCTGGGGCAAGGAGAAGGCCCGGCAGGGGCAGATACCCTGGGGTCCAGGCAGGCTCTGGGGAGACCAGGTGGTGGTCTGGGAACTGGTCCCCAGTTCCATTGACACCTGCCTGGGGACAGGGCTTCAGGCAGCAACCCAGGGCCCAGCTAAATACCAACAGCGCCCACATCTGCCGTCATTTCTCCACTCTACCTGGCCTTTTTTTTTTTTTTTTTTTTAAAGATTTATTTTTGCATACAAGAGCTGGGGTGCAGGCCAGAGATGTAGGGGGTGAGAGGATTCACCAGAGACAGAGTGGGGAGCAGAACAGGCAGATTGACACAAGCACACTGCTGAGGGGAGCAGCGGGCGAGTCAGTTCTGCTGCGCCATGTGGGTAGCTCCCTGGCTGGCCGGGGATCGAACTCGTGCTGCAGGGGCTGCGGACAGCTTCACAGGTTGCATCTTAACCCCTTGTGCCACCAGGGAGGCCTTACCTGGCCTTCTAAATCCCCCTGTGCTGCCCCCTTTCCGGGCCACCCATGGGTGGCTGGGCAGTGTTGCTCCTCCTTCAGGTCCTTGAATAGCAACTTGTCCCCGAGGTCCCCCAACTTTACAAACCCCCTCCCTTCCCCCCTGCTCTTCCCTCCCCCACTTGGATATTTTTCCAGCTGATATGTTATACACCGCTCTCCCTTCACTGAACCGCAAGCTCTGTGCCACTTCCTCTGCGGCCTGCACATAGTAGGTGCTCAGGAAATCTTTGCTGAATGACCCTGGGAAGACCCCAGGAACCTCCCTGACTGCCCCCCCAACAGGTTTCTGTGTATGTGTCCCCAAAGCCCCCTCCGTCTCCTGCATGGCATGTCACCCATGTGATCTGGGGCCCACTGTGGGGTGGGCACAGAGGGGTGGGGGATCCTATCAGCTCCCCGAGAAAATGAACCCTATTGGCCTGGTGGTGCCCCCAGTGCCCAGCACTTGGGACTCGGACAGCGGGCAGTGCCATCCCTCAGCCCCTGTCCTGATGGCCTCTCCTCCCAGGCTGGCACTCGGGCTGGTCTGGCCAGCTCTGCACCCTCACTGTGGGCTCCAACAGCGTCCGAGTCAGCCCCCAGGTGGGGGTTCCACTCCCGGGTCAACCGAATCCGCCCCCTCTGGATGTGGCTCTGGCCCCTGAGCCTGTGCCCTCCCTGCTGTGCCACTGTACCCTCTTCTGAAGGTGGCCGGGGTTTGGGGGCAAAGCCGGAGAGCTAGTCTCTGCCCCTGGGGGTGCGGCTCAGCCTCTTCTTCCCTCCGGGGTCAGGCCCCCATCCTGGGGCAGGTGGGAGGCCTGGTGGGCAGCCCCTCTTCTTTGCCCCCCTTTGGAGCTGAGCTCGGACCTGGAGCTCCAGGACCAGAGACGCCCAAAGGCAGGTGCGGAGCTGGTGGACCCTGTCACCCCCTCCCTTAAAAAGCAGAGGCCCAGCAGCTCCCGGGGAGAGGCCACACCCGTTGCGAACCCCGTCCTCTGTGGCCTCGACGCGCAGCCCTGGGGAGCCCCGCCGGGGAAGGAGTCGCGGGCCTTTGGCCTCTGCTTCCCCCAGGCTTCAGGGCCTCCATCCCCTCCCGGCCCCTCCCTCCGCGCGGGCTGGAGGTCACCTTCCCCGCACCGCAGGTGGGGGTCCCGGGCCCAACCTGTGCCTTCCCGCAAGGCAGCCCCCCGCGCCCCCCCGCCCCGCGCCCCGCGCGTGCCCGGCGCCCCACAGACCCGGGCCGGATGAATGAGTCTCGGGCGGGCCCGGCCTCGCCCGCGTCGGCGCTTCCGCGCGCCCCCCCGCCCGCTCCACGCGCGAGGGCGGGAGGCGCGGGGCTCGGTCCCGGGGGCCGGCGGGGCCCCCCCCCCCCGCCGGGGCGCGCGCCGGCTCCGGGCTCGCGGGCCGCGGCGCGGCGGGCGGGCGGGCGGGCGGGCGGGGGCGGCGCCGGGCGCTGAGTGGCGGCTCCGGGTCCACCCCTGGCGCGGCGCGGGCGGGGGGCGGGGGGCGGGGGCGGCGGCGAGCGGGGCGCAGCCGCGAGCATGTGCCGCGCAGCCCAGTAACCAGGGACGACCGCGGCTCCACCGCGGCCCGCGGCGCCCGGCCCTGCGCAGCTCCGCGCCCGGCGCCGGGAGAGGGCGGCGGCCCGACGGCCGGGCCTGCGAGCCGAGCCCCGCGCCCCGCGCCCCGCCGGAGCCCCGCCGGAGCCCCCGCCGGAGCCCCGCGCCCGGGCCGCGCGGGCACGGCGCAGACAAAGGCGCGGCCCCGGCCCGGCCCAGCCCGGCCCGCCGGCCCGCCGCGCGCCCCGGCCCGGCCCGGCCCGGCCCAGCCGCTCCCGCTGGGCGCCCCGACGGGGTCCGGCCCGGGGGGCGGGGGCCGCGGCGCCGAGGATGGGGAAATCCAACAGCAAGTTGAAGCCCGAAGTTGTGGAGGAGCTGACCAGGAAAACCTACTGTGAGTGCGCCCCCCACCCCGCCCCCCCCCCCGCCCCCCGGTCCCCGCGCGCCCCCGGCCCGCGCGCGCCCCCAGGCCTCCGCCCGCGCCCCTCGGCGCTCCGGGCGGCGCCCCGGCCCCACACCTGGGCCTTTTGTTCCCGGCGCCCCGTCCCCCCGGGCGTGCGCGCCTGTCAGCCGCCGAGCCCGGCCGGGAGGGACGCCCCGGCCCGCGCCCCCCTGCGGGCCCTCGGAGGGGCCGGGTGTGCGGGCGCGAGGGCGCGGCCCGGGCTGGGGGCGCCGGCGCCGGCGAGGGCCCGGCCGGCGGGTGATTCATGCACCGCGCTGCGCCGCCCGCGAGCCGTCGCCGCGCCGCGGGTGGGGGCGCCCGTGTGAGCCGGGCTCGCGCCGCGGAGGGTCCCGGGCGCCCCGCGGGCTGTCGGGTTCCCGGGCTGAGGCCCCCGCCCATCTCCCCGCCCCCTCCCATCCTTCGGCCAAGTTGAGCGCCGGGTTTCTCCAGCGGGGGGTGATCGGCTGCGCCTCATCATTTAGACGTTTGTGTGGGGCACCCCTAAAAGAGGGTCTGACGGCTGCGGAGTTGTCCTGACCCGGGCCAGGGCGCCTCTCTCCACTTGGCCAACTTCACAGCCCCCCGCCCCTGGCCCCTCTGGGCTCCCCGCACCAGCCCTCAGCCTTCCGGCAGCCTCCGGGGAGATGCCCTGGCACGCCAGGGGTTAACGGCCCCGGGTCCTGACCACGCAGCTCCGTGCTTGTGCCTGGGGAGGAGGCTGGCCTCGCTGTCTGGAAGGACTCGGGCTGGGGTTGACCCCCGCCGTGGGCGGCTGGAGGGTCCTGCCTCTGGCATCCTCCCTGGAGGCAGCAGCTTGATGCCAGCCGGCCGCTGGAGGCCTGGGAGGCGGCTTCTGGTGCATTGCACAACCTCCCCCCATCGGCCCTCCGGGCACATTGCAGGTCTGTCCAGGCCCACGCTTGGGCTCCGTGCCCCTCGCCCCCACGTGCTTGAAACAAAAGGGGCTTCCCTGAGTGGGCGCTCAGCACCGAGAGGCCCTGGCCCCCATCCAGGGGAGGCTGCAGCACGGAGCCGCATCCCCATGCATGGCTGGTCCTCGAGGGGCGAGGCTGTGAGCACCCACGGACCTGTCCTTGCTGCTTATCCATGCTTCAGGGCCGGTGGGCAGCCCTTCCAGTTTGCCAGTCTCGGGAGCGCTGCTGGGCCTTCCTTCCGAGTCCATCCAGGTGTGGCGCACGGCTGGAGGCAGGCAGGCCACTCACGGCCAAGCTGCTGGGAGCTTCACCGAGCGGTGGCCATGGGCTGCCCAGCTGTCCGGCTCAGGGGGCGGTTCGGTGCGCCGTGAGCCCAGCGTGGCCAGCTTGCCTGCTCACCGAGGGCAGCACGGGCCAGCTCTTTGTGTCCTTGCCACAACCCTGGGCAGGGTGGGCACTGCCACCACCCCCGTTTACGGAAGAGGGAGCGAAGGCCCAGGAGGCTGTCCCAGTGGGGGGCGTGCCCAGGGCCACGGCTGGTCATCGGCGATGCCAGGACTTGAATTCGGATCTGTGTGGTGCCAAAGCGAGGCCCCTTGAGAGACCTTGGGGCTCCCCGGGGCATCAGAAGGGCTTTTCTTTGCGTCCTTTTCTGTTTTCTCCTCTAAGCCCGGGATGGAGGATTCTGGATGCGAGGGGCCCTGGGGTCCCCGTCTCCAGGCAGGTCTGTCAAATTTGGGAGAAGTTGAGTCAAACCGGCTTGGGGCGCTCCCCCCCGTGCTGCCGGGCGGCCTGGGCTATTTTTAAAGGCCTTTGGAGACGTGGAACAGTTTCATCAGGGAGTGTTAATGGTACTTTTCCGCTGTGCCATGCTCTGTGGGGTGGGCTGGGGCAGCGGCGGAGGGGGTGCCAGGGCTCGCTGGCTGGTGTCGGCCCCCCTGCTGGCACCTGTCCGGTTCTTTGCGTTGGTGCCAAGGGGGTGCACCGATATTTGCTGAACGAAGCGGCGGGGAGAGCCAAGAAAACCAGAGCTTGTTTTAGGGTTCCAAGTGAGCTTCCTTCTGGTGGGAGGGGGTGTGCTCTGTTCAGGGGATTCTGTGCATGGGGTGGACGGGTTGCGCCCAGGAGGACACCCCGTGTCAGGACTCTGGAAGGGCGTGTTGAAAGCCCAGGCGCCTGAGCCTGGCCCTCCTAGATTTCTGATTTGTAAGGTCTGAACTGGGCCTGGGTATTTGTGTCCTTGACATGTGTCTGTCACACAGATCTTGGTTCCCAGGGACCCGACACCTGGGTCTCGGGGTGCTGGCATGTGTAAGCATCACCAGGTGTCCTCAGCTTCCATGCCCAGAGGGAAGCCCAGGTGCTCTCGCCTGCCTCCGTGGGGTCCACTGTGCTCAGCAGCGATCCCAACTCCCGGGGAGACCGCCCTGGTGGTCTGTGCGAGGAAGCATCAGGTCCACCCCTCCAGCTGTGTGGCCCTCACCAAGCACATCTGGACCAGCCTGCCCACACCCCTCGGTCGCTGTTTAACACCACACAGCAGATGCTTTTCCTCCTCTGCAGATAAGACTTGTAAATCGTCAGAGGCCCCCCAAGCCTCTCCCTTCCCACTCTGTTCTCATCCAGCAGGGCCCCCCCAGAGGTGGGGGCTCCCGCCCAGCCCGGCCCCCAGAGGGGTGCCAGCAGCTGGCCCACTGCCTTCCTCCGTGTGGACGAGGCTGCTGTCATCATCCCTGTGTGCCCGACACGCGTGGCCTCACTGGACCTCGGTTTCCTCATCTGCAAAATGGGTGTCCCTGGCACCTGGTTCCTGGAGGGTGATTCCCGGTGATCAGCGTGGCGGGCGCTGGTCAGGGAGGCGAGGCTGGGAGGCAGGCGAGGCGCAGGCGAGGCTGGGGGGCAGGCGAGGCTGGGGGACAGCCGTCCTGCTCATCCTGTTGACTGCACGGCCCTGCTCACCTGGAGCAGCGCTTAACTCATATCTTGTGGGCAAATTTCCTCTCTCCCAGGGCCACTTTCCTACTTCCTGGGTCTTTGCTCCGGGCACCCATGGGTGCTTTGGTTGGCTTGCCTGCTCCCCTCCCTCAGCAGGCTCTTATGCTTGCCCCCGACTTGTTCATTTTTCAGCTCCCCGCCCCCTGCCCCCCCCCACCATCCGGTGAGTGTTCCTTCTGCCTTTCGTGCTGGGCACAGAGCTGTGCTCATTCCTGGCCTCAGTGGAGGCCAGCCAGGCTGTCTGGGCCACGGTCGCATCAGGGCTCCTGGGTCCAGGCCAGCCAGCCCAAGAGGCGAGCCCCCCACGCGCCTCCTTGCCCTCTCCCCCTGGTGCTTGCAGCACTCCCCGGGGGCCCCTGTCCAGACTCAGAGGCGGTCACCATCTCCTGCAGTTCTTGGTCAGTGCAGACTCTGCCTTGACCTTCCTGCCAACCTTGAGTCTCTTTGGCCTTTTCTGGATGCCCAGGACGGGCCGGCTTGTGGGAGCTTGTGCAGGGGAGGGGCCTTTGGGTGGCCACAGCTAACACCTCTGCCACCCAGGGCCGAGAAGGGGTCTCCAGTCAGGGCAGGAGTCGGGTTGAGAGATGCTGGGTGTCACCGCTGGGTGCCCAGGCCCCTCTGGCTTTGTTCCTCCCCGTAGGATGAAGAGTCTCTGCTCCACCAGAGCGAGGCAAGATGTCTCTTTGGGGGAGGCAGTGTCTGGTACCCATCTTGGGACAAATGAGGGTCTTGGGGCACAGAGGGCCCCACGGCCAGGCCAGGGCTCAGTCACCCGGTGGGGAGGGCCCGGGAGGAAGGTGGCTTCCGCAACCCCTGTGTCCCATGAGCAGGGTGAGGCCGAGGAGGCTGCTGTCTGACCCACTGGACGTAGCCGCAGCAAGAGGAAGCAGGTTGGACCCCGACTCTTGGGGGGCCCTGGGGCGAGAAGCAGCAGGGCTGCTGTCGGAAGGCGAGCCGGGGCCGGGGCCTCCTCGGGCCCTGTTTTTGTTTTTTTTTTAAAGATTTATTTTTGATTAGCAACTATAGCCAGAGACACTCCGGGGGCGGGGGGAGAGGAGGGATTAGGGTCAAAATAAGGGGGGTGCAATTGTATGGGGAATGTAACCAAAATGCAAATGCATGCGCTGTGCAAAAATGAAAAATGATGTAAGAATTATATAAAATAAAATATATTAAACATATAAAAAAAGATTTATTTTTATTTATTTATGCATACAAGAGCTGGGTGCAGGCCAGAGATGCGGGGGTGAGAGGATCCACCAGAGACAGAGTGGGGAGCAGAACAGGTGAATACAATGAAATCCACTGCTGGGGGAGCAGCGGGGAGACAGGAGAGGTCTGCTGCGCCCTGTGGGCAGCTCCCTGGCTGGGGATGGAGCTCAGGCTGCAGTGGCTGCGGACAGCCTCATAGTGCTGAGACTTCACCCCTGCACCACCGGTGAGGCCCCCTCCTTGGGCTTTGTGGCCTTGGGCTAGTCGCTTGCCCTCTCAGCACCCGTCTGTTCCTCTGACCCTTGCCACCTGCCAGCGTGGGTGCCGCCGGCTCAGTGCCCTGGGGTCCAGAGCAGAAAGGGAGCTGGGCTCTTCGGCAGCAGAGCCTCGGGGAGGGAACCAGGGCTCGGGGTCCAGCGGTGCTGGGCTTCTGGCTCTGTCTCTCCCCTTCTCTCCTTGGGGTGGCAAGCCCTGTCTCACGGAGCTTCACTCTCCTCCTTTGGAGAGTGGGCCTCACAGGGACCCCAGAGTTAGTGCGGGGTCGGGGCAGGTGGAGGGTTTAGCAGGGCGCCTGGTTCTGGGGGCTGTCTAAACCCAGCGGGCGGCAGCTGGCCCTTGGGTGTCCCAGAGCCAGCGGGCGTCAGAGTCCCCTCCTTGTGTGTTCTGGCTCCTTCTGCCTCCTCCAGCTCCAGCTTAAATGTGACCAGCTCCTGCCACCCGCGCCCCCCACCCCTTCCTCCTGGCCGTGGCCTTGGGCCTGAACCCAGCTGCCTCTGCTCCCCAGACCAGGCCTGAGTCCCCCTGGAGAAG